CTATCCATAGTTTCGTAAAAGATATACCGAACCATTGGATCATTTACAAAACTATCCAAGGCTTCGTATCAGATATACGATACCTTTAGATGTTCTCCGAAACCATCAATGGTTTCGTGCAATCTATACAAAACCCTTATCTACCTTTCAAAACTATCGAAGGTTTCGTACTGTGTATACCGAACCTTCGGAGAAGGTGCGAAACTATTAATGGTTTCGTAAAAGGTATACCGAACCATTAGTTGATTTACGAAACTGTCCATGAATTCGTATAATGTGAACAAAACCATTATTTGATTTACGAAACTGTCGATGGATTGGTATTATATATAGGGAACCTTCAGATGTTCCACGGAACTATTAATGGTTTCGTATAGTGTCTATGGAACCACTATTGGACTTACGAAACTATAGAAGACCTCGTATAATAAATACGGAATCTTTTGACGCTTTCCGGAGCTAACCATGGTTTCGTTAGCCAGTTAATGGCTCCATTTCACTCCACGATGTCAATGATAGATTTGAAAAACAGCTGGAGTTTTATCATTCTCATGTAGAGACTGTTGTTGTTTCACTAAGCATCAACAGGGTCGCTACGATTCGTTTGAGAGCACATGCAATTATGTGTACTGCCGAAAATTTTATGATTATTCGTTTGAGTACAAATGTTTCAGTATTCACTGTATTACTTAATTTGACAAGGTACGTCGACACAACGCTATAAAAAAATGCAACAGAGTCTATTAGTAAACATTAGAGGCATAAGAAGCAAATATCGAAAAACTGTCTGTGCAAATGTTTACTGCATAAGTCACAGAAAAAGATCAACGGTTGGCAGAATCAGCATAATTATAGAGATAATGCCAAGTTTATTTATGAAACGTAGACAATTTTCAATCGAGTCTCAAGAGACAAACTGATTAAGTCTAGTACCCAAGCAAAATAAGAAAATGACATTTTGGTTTCAGTTAATTAGTTGGTCTATTTGTATACAATTGTTACCAAAACTCACGGTCACCCTGAGATACTAGACAGAATCCATAAAGATAACGTGAATATTTAATATATCATATAAGGTTTCGAAATCAAAAACAGAGAAACATTTATTCCGATAAAGGATTCAATATTCAATAAAACTATTCAGCGAATTTAATTCAATTAGCTCATCCCTCAGTAAACTATTCTACCTTTCATTTATTTATTGATTCTGTATTCTAAATCTGTGACAGATTTTTATACATTTGTATACTACAAAAGCATTCTTCTTTTCACTACTTCAATGCGCTTTACTCTATCTGTTATCGTCGCTACTGTACGCTAAAATTAATTCTTCCCAGAAATAGCCAATCAAATACGAATCCTATATTTACCATTATTAATTAATCGACTAAAGAGTGGAATTCAGTTTTCGATTCTTGTTCTCAATTTATCAAACTACTAGTCTGCGCTTCTTGTTTTTCGTTTTGTTTCTTGCCCACTACTCATCTATTGAATTTCATAATCAAACATCATTTCAATTAGGTAAAAGAGAAAACATTTCTTATTCAAAAGAGAAG